GCTGGAGTGTGTTATCTACAGATTATATTGTTTAATCTAGTTTTTTAACTATTTGTAAATGTAGATATATTTTAATCAACTGCTTCCATAATGAAGTAATTGACCATACAAATCTGTTTTCATACGTAACAACATTAGGACACTAGAACAGGGTTTTTAGGTAGTTTAGTATTGCTGGATTAAAACACTTTTCTAGGAGTGTTTTCAGGTTTTTAAATATTTCAGCTCTACAAATGTCTTGGGAGAAACCATTTCAGCATTTTACTCTCCTAAACATCTTTATAGCCCATGGCAAGTTAGGCAGCTAATTAGGAGACAGATGTTCAACCATTTCCATGGGTCTGACTCCTAGCACATGGAGTATTCCAGGACCTTAGCTTGGGAAATAAAGTATCTAACAGTGATTTTTATTTTTTTTTTCCCTCCCCCTCAGTATCCTAGAAGTATGCATTGCCTTTTCTTACTATCCTTTTTATTGCTCTTTGTACAATCTCTGGGCTGTATCACTTGTGATGTAAAAGCTAGCCTTAATTGTATTTATTGCAATTATGAAATAATATCAATATACTTTGAATAATTCCTATTCTTTCATCTAGAAATTTGCTTTTGGATACTACAAATTGGTTTCTTTGCTGGTTTTATACATTCATATAGCAGCTGTTTTTACTTTTATATCTTAGTAGCATTCCAGTTTACATTTTGTTTACACACATCAAGGAACCATAATCTTTACTTCTGTGATCTTATAAAACTTGCAATAATTATAAGGCTTAATTTGACCAATATGTGTACAAGTCGTAAAATATCTAACATCTTTTGTTTGTAAACCATTTCGGATTTTAAAGCAAATCATGGATTGTTCTTAACTTCTAAAGCACTAATGAATTTTTAGTAGTTTTATTGAACTTGTATACGATTGATTGGGGTTTTTTTTCCAAGCACTACGACAGAAACTGTCTTTTATCAACACCTCTTGGAGCATTGTTTTCAACCTTTTGGTCCAGCAGAGAACCTTTTTCTCATTTAGAAATACCCAAACTTTTATTTGGCCAGAGCAAGGGTGTTTCGTAAAATGCTTTGTTTTCTTGCCACAAAAACTCTAGGAAGCCCTGTTACGAAAGAAATGCTGTCAAGTGGCTTTCCTCCTGCCTTTATCACTGATGTTCAATAACCATTCAAAACTTAGAGGGTCAGGTAAGAGCTTTCTTAATAGAGCAGTGACATTATTTCTGGTTAGCCTCCAATATGTTATATTTGCTGAGAGCTCCAATGCATTTTCATTTGATTTTTTTTTGTTTGTTTGTTTTTTGTTTTGTGGTTCTATCATCTTTTACAGAAGAGAATTTTTTTTTTTAAGTTTAGTTTAACCAACTAAATGCTAATGGATCCATTGAGAGGTTATTCAGAAGTGTTTGCTGATGTGTTTTGCTCTAGGAAAATATCCAGAATAATTGGGTTGAGAATGCAGCATGGCAAAGTGTTTTTCCAATAGCAATATTTGGAAAATCGTATATGTGAATGGTGCTGTATGCTCATTGTTGCATATATGTGTGTGTTTCAAGCTGCAACAGATTAAGTGAATACTTCAACACAGCAAAATAAGTACCTGAAGATTAGAAGAATGAGCAACTCTGAGTACTTGGCATAGTATTTTCGAGCTTCAAAATTACACCTTTACTTGCTTGATAATTGAGATTGTTATTTCTTTTTTACCTGTCCTTTAAACATTGATCCTGCAAAGGCTTGTGCTTGTGATTAACACTAAATGGAAGTGTTCAGGCTGCTAAAAGTAGACAGGTTCTTCAGTCCTTGTAAGATTCAGGTCTCTGGTTCCTTAATGTTTATATTCTTGAGATATATTTAATTATTTTAATTTTTTTTTACTGTAATGCAAAGCATATTTCCAAACATCCTGGAGAGGTTTTGTTAGCTTTTCTTAATGGGGTAATTTAAGTGGAAAAATTAAATTTTTATTGTGGAATCAGAGGGAAGGAAAAATGTTGTAATGAATGAGGGGAAATGAATGGCAAACTCTAATATAAGATTTCATGAACGTTACCAACAGCAGACACACCACCATATTCACCAACTTTACTGCCATGTCACTTTTCAGTAAAAAATAAAAAATACCTATTTACTATTAGTGTTCCAAAGGGAATAAATGATAACAATGTCTTGACTGCTCTAATTTTTAGCACTGTAACTGGTGAAATGGTATGAACTATCTTACAACACCCTGAATGCCATCACTGTTCAGGTGTTAAGAACCTGATTTATTTCACATTAGCTCTCAAGGAGACACATTTGTTTGCTTATGAGTTACTGCATTGATAAGGACTGTAAACTGGCTCTTTAGAATTAGTGTTATCAAGAGAGAGCTTTTTTTATAATCTCTTCTTAGTAAATTACCAATAGTGAGAAGCTGACCTAAAACCCGAGGCTTGTCTTCATGCTTACCTGTCTTCGTTGCTTTTTTTATAATTCTGTGCATTTCTCTGTCCGTGTTTGTATGTATATCATTCACTATGTACATTCATACGTGTTTCTGCACTAAGTTTGTGACTGTCTAGGAATCAAAATTCTCAGTTAGGTCTTTGTTTCTGTGGGTTGAAGATATACCTGCCTGGTTCTTGTTTGTTTGTTTGTTTGTTTAATTTTTTTTAATATACCATACAGTTGCCTCTAGAGAATGAAAATCCTAAGAAGCTAGAAATGTGATAAATGAAAAATTGGAATAGTGACATCTGTGTGTCATAAGATGTTCTGAAGTCAAATATGTTTGTGAAGTCAGAAATAGTCTTTAGGAAGTTCATGTTTATGACTACTACTGTGAATCATCTGTTTTACTGCAAAGAAAAAGCTATCTTCTGTAAATGTTTCATTTTTAATCACTTCTACCTGAAGAGAATTTGCTATTACTTGTCAAACGTTGTAAGATAGACCTAATTTGTTTTGGTTTTTTCTATTTGCATTGTAGGTTTTGACTTTTGCCTATAAGCATGCACTGGTAAATAAAATGTATGGGAGAGGTCTCAAGTTTGCCACAAAACTTGCAGAAGAAAAGCCAACAAAGGACAACTTGAAAAACTGCATTCAGGTAAGCAGTGTTTGGTCAAGTAATGGCCAATGTCCATGCTGAGTAGACTTTTAAGAGTAAGATATAAGTCTTTTGGAATTTTTGATATTTTTTACATTTTAGAAACCACTAAATGTAACATTTCATCTTTATCCAGGCTTTGGTAGCTTGGCCTCCATTTTTGATAGTGATTTCTTCTTTCTTTTTCTAGAATAACTGGTTTGTGAGTAACTGTCATTTTTAGCAGATTTACTTTCTGGAACTTCCTTTGGGCCATAAAGGAGTTAGACAACTTAGCCAAAGATATCTGAATATTTAAAATCCTGTTATGTTGCTGTTTAGCCACTATTATTTTTTACTATTATTAATAATAATTACTGTTAAAAGAATATAGGTGGAGAATTAATGGAAATCGCTGTAATTCCTAGGACAAGATTTTTGTGCATTGAGTTAACATTGTGGACCATATAGTGGGGGAGAGGGAGGCGAAGGGGGCAGAGGTTTCCCCCTCTCAGGACTAAGGAATTCAAAGATCACTCTGTTCACTCTCCAATCTGTTATCTTTCTGATAATTGACGTTTTTAGTAAGATGTTGATATCTGTGCAGTGTTTGTTTAGATTTAGATGTTAGAAAGAATGACTCATTTTTTTAATGTCTGCTTTTTTCTTCAGCTAATGAAGTTGCTTGGATGGACTCACTGTGCAACTTTCACTGAGAATTGGCTTCCTGTCATGTATCCACCTGATTATTGTGTATTCTAGAAAATCAACTGTTGTAAAATTAAAATGATTTTATAAGGGGCAGGATAGGAAAAGATAAGTTTGACTTTTTATTCGAACGCATGTTTTCATTACTGAATGCTGATTATTAAATTGTGTGTATTTATCAGTAAAGGCACCTGGGTACAGTTAATACCTGCTAACCTAACTCCTGTCATTAGGGAGTTTCCTTATTGTGCATCCCATTGCTGGCAATGGATGTGCCAGAACTGCCAACACCAAGGATTTGGAATCAGGTTGGAAAGACTTACTGCATGCATGTTAGGTTCTGAACTGTTACTTTTAACACCTGTAAAAGTTCTGTATTTTTTACGGTAAACTGAATTTTAACATGTTTGATCCTAATTTCAGTTGTATGAAGGCCTTAAAGCTACTTCAAGAGTAGCTAAAATCTTACTTACTAGACGAAAATAATGGAACACGCGTATTGTTTGCAAGAGTTTACATTTAATTTTTTTTAAGAAAAATTCAACCTCTCAAACTGGTACAGTGTTTAACTTTGAATTGCTGATGCATAGGTGCTCTTGTAAATCTTCATTTTGGAGTGATTTAAGACAAACTCAAAAATCTGTGTGAAGCTGAGTATCAGGACAGACTGATACATGTATGAAAGTGCCAGACAGTTACATCTTGATCGGATATTGTAAAGCTATACATATATGTTTATTAGTGTTAAAAATATAAACCGCAGCAGAATAAATGTGCAAAGTTGGAGGTCAAAAAAACACTATGTGCACTCTGATACTTTAAAAGATTTTTATAATTAATAAAAGTACTGAAGCTAAAAATTGTATTGGTTTCTGGATTAGTACATAAACAAAACTTGCTGAAAGAAAACACCTTACAAACAACAGAAGTTCAGTGCAGCCCAGAAGCTTTTTGTTAAAGCCTTGTTACTGATTACGGCTATGAAGATTGTTCCTTCAGTGAAGGGAAATTGGTCTGTTTGAACAGCTCATATGTATCAACCAGAGACGAATTGCCCTATGTTTTGCTTGCTAGTTTTTTCAGTGCTTGCAATGCAAAACTTGGATACAACTGTGACTTTACAGACATAAATACACATAAGGTGCAACATAATCCTGCAGAGCATTCCAAACTGTGAGGTGCTGCCACTAAATCAAGAATAGTGATAATTTTCTCTTTAATTTTCTCTTACTGTGGCTTTAAGCAGCTTGACATTTGATTCTGGAAATTCTGCTAGAACAGTTGTGTTAAATATATTGGAAAGTTTTTCCAAAAATTCATAGTCTGTACTGAATCTGAATTTATTGGCCCATAGTAGTACTGTTCCTGGCTTACAAAAATATACCATTGTTGCTAGCAGGGGATCCAGAGCTGCATGATGGTACACAACATCAGTTGCCAGTATGAAATCATAATGGTAAGTTGATACAGGAAAATCTTCATTGAGGCCTTCTCCCCATACCAGTTTTCTTACTTCAGGTTTGTTCATATTCATGTTCTGTGTATTTCTTGAAATATTATATGAGAGATTTTCAAGAACTTCAGGCAAATCAGTAGCTGTAACATGAGCTCCTAAAGAAAACATGAATTTCTTTCAATTCACAGAATCATCAAGGTCAGAAGAGACTTTCAAGATGATCTGGTCCAACTGTGAACCCAGCTCCACCATAATCACCCCTAAACCATTTCCCCAAGTCCCACATCCAGATGCCTCTTGAAAACTTCAGAGATGGTGACTAAACCACCTCCATGGGCAACTTATTCCAATCCTAAACCACTCTTACAATAAAAAATAAATAAATAACTTAAAGGCCATTTCCTCTCATCCTTTCACTTGAGACATGGCAGAATTCATAGATATGTAATTGAATATATATAAAACTTTACCTACGTAACTTCTCCAGGCTTCCCCTCACCAGTAACTAGGGTAGTTAACAAAACAGTTTTTAACAATAATTTTCATTTAAAAAAAACAAAACAAAACATGATGGCAAAGTTTACTTCAATTGTTGTTGCATTTCCTTAAAGTGACAATGGCAGGACTAAATCAATTTTCACAGAAAATCTAAAAGAAAATACAAATTTACCAACCTAAGATACAGGCCACAATGGAAAGCAAGCCTGTTCCAGCACCAATTTCCAAAACTTTTTTGTCTTTGAGGTTGAATTGTTCTTGATTTGATTCCAGATATTGAGATAAAGCCAGTGCCTAAAACGGTTAACACATATCTGTAAGAAGGTAACAGCTAAGTTGCACAGAAATTCATTAGATGTTTTTATGCAAAGGTGTTGGTTTTTTTAGTACAATGAAAAACACTGAAGGGTGTAACATAAAAATGTAATATGGAAAGAATTGTGATGTCCTGCTTTTTTATATAAAGAAAAAAAAATTAAAGCAGTTTATTTTTAATTTACTTTTATGGGATGTGGATTTGCTACACATTTCTATGTGAGTCCTCTGACAGCTCAAGAGGGGCAGTGGTAAAATGTGAACCATACAGTCAGAACACCAAACAAGAGGTTTAACAATATGTAAAAGTAATGTTCTGGTTTATGATAATAAATGTTATGCTTTATTATCACTATCATCATCAAGTAAATTTAGGCTTCAGCAGAGATTTTTGGAAAACTTTTTTGTTTAATTTTTTTTTAGCACAGAAAATTTTAAAACTTTGTTATTTACCAACTTGATACTTGTCTTGATAATCGTATAAACTTTAGACAGGAAACAGCACTGTATGGAAATATTGTTTATCGGACCTTTGTAAAGATCTTGTTGATAAAGGGGCTGTTTATAAACAACATAAACTGATGCCAAAGAAACTGTCTTCCCCCTTTTGCTTCTCTTCTTTAGAGTTGTGTTACTATTTTAACTCTTGCGCTTTTCATAATGCAACACTGTCTACCTGCTTTGGGAAAGCTGACAGCTAATAAATCACCAATTTGTGCAACCTCTCCATTTTCTTGGATAGTTGTACCATCTGCATTCTGACACCTGATTAATGTGCGAATTGATGATCTGACATGTCAAAATAAGATACTGTTTCACCCACACACAAATGCTTTCTTTCTATTGTTTTGAAATTGCCATTTTTTGTGAGCTTTTTAAATAAATGTGGATCTGAAAACTTTTGAAATCCCAATTTTCATGTCTTTATCAGTTGACCTTCTCTTTCCTCAAAGGCAGCTTTCTCAGTCCACATGTTTTTTAAGAGCAGAGGAAGCAGAGATTGCAGAGCTGCTTGCAAGTATGGTTTTCCATACTGCAGTGGAGCTGTTCCAGCCTTTAAAGGAAGCATGTTTAATTGTTATAACCTTATTTAATCTCTCACAATTTTCTTTTTCAGCCTCCTTTTTGTACTCCTGATTGTTTACCTCCTAGCAGTGACTGATTGGAAACATGGTGGATGCTGAATGCTTCTTCCTGCATTCCCTTTCTGAATTTTATTCAATGCCTGCATCCAATTTACAAATGCTTAAAATAGTCCTTTCGGTGTGAACCGGCAAATTACCTTAAGGCAGAGCTTTCTCTTGAAGGTCTTTGTCCTGCATAGGGAAACCTCTATTGTGGGAAGCACCATCCAAGAAAGCTTCCTTAACGTTCGTGTGCTGCTGTCATGGTTTCCTTTTGTGTCCTGTCAGCCTTCTGCCATGTCATGTACTTACCCCCGGCCATACCACGGCTCCAAAGTGCTCTATGGACTCCTGAATGACGATCTGGTGGCCCACGTACGTATAGTGCTCTTTATCAAAGTAGTGTGAAACTCTAGGAACCCAGTTCTGCAGTATTTTGAGTGTTACTGGTGAGCCTGTGAGAGGAAAGTGGAAATTGGTGGTTTTATATGGAACTTGGTAAAAAGTGTCTTGCAAAGACAGTGTGTAGGCACACAGACTAGAAAGCTGTCAGGCCACTGGCCTTGAATTACAGAATCATTAAGGTTGGAAAAGGTCTGGAAGATTGTTGAATCCAACCCTTAACCAACCCAGCACCTCTGTGTTTATCACTAAAACGTTCTCAAGTGCCACATCTACACATCTTTTGAACACTTCTGGGGATAGTGATTTGATCTCTTCCCTGGGCAGCCTGTTCCAATGCCTAACCGCCCTTTCCGTGAAGACTAGCTGCTGTCCAAAAGCAGATACTCTGGCTGGTCAGGTAGTTAAAGAAACAATGGTCATTTCCTGCCATTCTGAGTGTTCACATGGGCAATTTACAGGTATAAACAAGCCTTTTAGGAAAAGCTACTAATTCAAAATAAAGTTCTGCTAATTACAGCTAAAAGACTTTCTGGGCCAAGTTACCTTGTATTTTGGGGTAAGCTAGTTCATGTTGAGTATGAAGATAGCATGTACGTGTTTGTGCTGTACATTTCATTTGTGGGGTCAACAGCTCTAGAACATCAAGCATCTTTTTAAGTAAGAAGTATTTAGAATTCACCTCTTACATTGAAGAAAACCTAACTCTTTTTAGTGGTTGTTTTTAATTAAGCATCCTTCCAAAGCAGGAGGGTTGTAAGGTGCTCTTTAAGTGTGTGTTGACACACAGCGTGGTTCAGCAAGCCAGTACTACAGCTGTGCTAGTGAGTCTCATCATACAGGGAGGCTCATGGGTGAGGCTTTTCAGAAGAGCTGGGCTCAACTGTTCCATCTGATCTCACTGAAAACAAGGACACCGACCTGAATGACTGTACTGTTGCTGAAAGCCTGTCATCAGCATGTGCACAGAATTGACCTTAACTGCAAAGAAAAATTTAGCTCTGGCTAGCATGGATTTTAATTGTTGCCTGCCAGAAATCCTTGGTAGTTGGTGGAGCAGTTTAGCCTGTTAAAATTTGTAATGCCACAGCTTCAACAGTGCCAGCCCAATTAATGCATATTGTAATCATATCTCTAATTGTAACTGATAAATAATTCTTAGATGTCCAATTAAAATTCAGATACCATTTTAAATATACATCTGAATCATGGAGATAGTAATTTTTTTGCAGATTTGATATGATAATATATACAAACATAAGGGGAAATGGGAAAATTGGATGTCAAAAGGAAAAGTGACGTGGTGACATCTATGTGAAGACTGACAAAAATCAAAATACGAACTGCTAGCATGCCACGGCAATTGCAATATTTAAATGGGATTAAACCTGTGTTGGATTCTGCATGCTTGGAGCTGCAAGTGCAGTTTTCAGAGTCACACTGCTCTTCACAGGTTTCTTCTTCCTCAGATTGGTAGTCCATTTCTCTTTGAATTTTGTTGGGGAATGATGGCTGCTGTGCAGAGATCACGGCAGAAGAGCTGAAATGGAAGGGGAAAAATAATGTAAAATCTTGCAGGCCCTCTCTTTGTATGAGACATGCCTGGAAAAAGACATAAATAGTTTGGGTGGCCTTTGGTAGCCTTTTGGGGTTTTTTTTCAGTGATGAGTTGAAGGAAAAGGATGAGATGTGACATCCCACTCCACTGAGTGTTATGAGCACTTTCTGATAATGCAGTAATGCTGTCAGAATTTTTATTTTATCATGTTTATCATATTTATTATGTTTATTTTAACATTTATACAGAATCTTAGCTTTATGTCACTGAATTGATGCCACTAATCAGTCTCAAAATTGAGCTGCTTTTATCAATTGAAGCAATAACTGAGACGGATAACCCTCTTTTAACATCTGTGACTTTTTATCTGTGAAATTTACTGTTTTCCAGGAAACTTGGGACTTGGCATTCCTGAGATAAAACTGTTTCATTTGCTGCAGCCAGTGCTCTTGATTTTGTCTCTTTGCATCCAGTTGCCTTCTCTTCCCTGCCTTTCCTTGCAGAACAGCTTAATGAATTACTCTGAAATGTAGTGAACTGCAGAGTGTGCCGATAGCAGTCAGGAAATCATTGCAGTGAGAAGTTTGAATCTGTAGGGCTTTTTTGAGAACTCTGTGTGTTGTGAATGATTTTGCATCCTCAGTGTACAGGGCAGCACCCAGCCTGAGAAGGAACTGATTGATACCAACTAACATCAATAAAAGCAGGAATAGGACTGGATCTAAATTTGCCTGGGGAGAAATATGTCATTGAAACTTCTTGCTTGACTAGAATTTTCTTCAGTGAAGCACAGGCATATGTCTGTGTGTGTAGATAGGTAGATAAATAGGTAAGATATACACACACACTGTGTACAAGCTGTACAAGCTCACCCTTCCCACATGGGTGGAGTGAGCTGTGTTTTTATCCATGATGAAAACATGTATCCATTCTGCTCTTTCTTGAGACTGCATATTTGCTCTCTCCAGCCATAGGCACTGCAGACTAAGCATTGTATAATTTGTGTTGCATCATACTGCAGGAGGCTGTTGTAGATAATCCTGACCTGAAGGGGTGAATGTTTGGCAGCAACCAAGAGGTTCAGCAATGCCTGCAGGTAGCTTTTTAAGGAGCAGAGTGACTGCTGACTTGGGTGGGTGGTTTATTTGCACATGATATTGACACCATTGCAGTTTTACTGACACCTGATATATTCCTTATTGCTGCTCTGTTTATTCACAAGGATGGGATTTATGTTCTAATTCCTCTGACACTGCATTTGCTCAGTCTTGGCAGCCATATTGTGCTGTTTCAGAAAAGAGTGCTTTAAAGGAAATTAATTTCTGCAGATTTTGATTTTCTTCAGAGGCCCTCCGTCTGGCCAGTAACAAGTTCTGACTGTGCACCTTCTGGGTGTGATTTTAGATGTGATGAATGTAGGTAAGAGGCTGAAGTTAATTCTGCAGTTACTGCATTCCCAGACATGAGTAACTGCATCCCGTGTTCACAGGTCACACAGGGCATTGTGCCTCCTTCCAACAGCAATGGTTTCTCATGTAATCAAAAGTAGACTTCTAGTTTTCAGCAATGCCTCCTTTTCATGCCTTGAGCGAGAATAAAATCTGGTCATGTTTTAATGTTTTAGGAAATCTCTGAGAAAAATATTTTAAGACTTAGGCCTTTGTGAAGGTGCATAATGAAAGGAGAAGAATCAGTCAGAACTGGTGATGGCTAAAGCCAGAAAACAGTTGGTTAAAGACCCAGTCTTCTTAACATTTCTTGCTGAAACATGCAAAGCACTACATTGTCATATTTGGGGAGTTTGGGATGAGTGTTTTGTTTATTTGTTTTGGTAGGTTTTTTTGTAATTAAAATTTGTGCTATGTAAGTGAAAAAGCCAATCCTGAAATCAAAAAGCAGGAGGAAACTTTAATGTTGTCCAGTACTTTTCTGTGTATAAAACCAGAAGGGCTTGTTTAATGAGTAAACTGTAATTTGTCAATCTGGGTAGAAAGGGATCCCCCTGCATTTTTTTCCTTCCTTAAACAAGTCCTTACTGCAACAGGCCGAAATTTCAGTTAGCTGTGGGCAGTGGTGAATTCCAGAAAACAGTTTGGAAACACACTTAGTAAATGCAAATTTGTTGATAAACACTATGCGCTCTGTGTTTGTGTGTCACCGAATACACTGGGCTCTGGTTTATGGCTGGGCTTCAAGATGCTGTATTAATATCTTGTCAGAGGTGTAGCTTTTGCTAAACAGAGAGGGGTTTATATGTGTGTATATATATATATATATATATATATATATACAGGCACATTCTATTGCCATAATTGTTATATATTTCATAGGAATTAAAAGTAAGGCTTTTTTTTTTTTTTTTTTTTTAGCTGCAAACTACAGGACAGTTTTAGTTGTATAAATTCAAGAATTCAAGCATATTAGTGTCTTGGCCTTATTGATGCACAGCTTTATTTTATTATTGTAAGTGACAAACTGCCTGAAGACTACAGGCACAAATGAGTATTGAGAGGCTATTTGCAAATAGGTGGTTGCATTTTTAAACCCTCTATATGTAATATGGTCGAGTTGTTGATGTGCTTCTAGAATTATAAAAAACATTTCTCATTGTTTTGACATTTTTCTGTTCCATATTTTACTAAAAATTATATATCTCAAAAAGAATTTTGATTTAATAATGTTACAAGTAAAATCCATTCCCTTTGAAAGTGTTGGCTTTTTCTGAATGTGAGCAGCCACTTTTTTTACAAATTGATCCTGTTGGGAAATAATCATCTAAATTCTTTCAGAGTTTTAAGACCAGCATGGACTTCATTTTGTTCACAACAGCCTTAAGCTGTTGTGAACAAAATTTACAAAATCACATTTGATTTCTTCAAAACCTAAGGAAGAAAGAATAATTCATAAAATTATATCTGTTTGACAATACCACATAAAATTAACAAGGTAATTAAACATTTAAGGGCAAATTGTAAGATGATGATAAACCTTAAGGTAACACAGTTTATCCCCTATAATAATAAACTTTGTGCCTCTTAAACTGTTGAAATTCATTGCTCAGGAAGAGCTTTTAAAATCTATCTATGTGGCTAAAAAAAAAAAGTAGATTATTGAGCAATACTGTAAACAATTCTGCTGAAATGTGTTTCTCTCATCTCTGCACGAAGTTGCATGAGGTACTCTGATTTAGTCTGAAGTATTTGGGCAAAAGCCAATTTCATTTGCTCACATGGGAAATGTAATTACAGTGCAAGACAGGGCCTAACCATACACTTACCATACAGTAACATCTCTCTTTCTTAGGGTTCATGCAATTTTCTCATGTTATCATGCACTACATTAAAAAATCAATATAAATGCTAGGAAATAAACGAAACTCCCATGCTAGCAATATCGATATAAGAAACTTATATGATGTTTGAATCCACGAGGTAAATGGACCCAAATACCAAAACCAGCAGTGACAGTCAATCCCCACAAAACAGAAAGGGTTAGGAAAGCTGGATTCTGTTGGCAGACAGAGCTGACCTGAAATGCAAGAATTCAGACAAAGGTGATTCTGTTGTTAGGTAGCAGAGAGCACAAAAGCATGCCAGACGAGGTTAGCTGGGTGGCTGTGTGGGTACCTGATGTGACAGGGCACGGGAAGTTTCCTGTGGGTGGCTGCATGCTCCAGAGGTTTTTTATACGGGCGTGCACCTGAAAAGAATAACCCTCCTCTCTGGCCAGTCGGATTGCAGGCTATTTAGAGTAACATTACCAGGCAGCGCTCGAAGAACTTACCATGTTACACTAAACTCTTCCACATTTGCAGTACAAAATGAAAACTCCCTTAGACTTTGAAGTCCCAAGCATACCAACCTTCAGAAATAAAATCTCAGCTTCCTCCTACCTCTTGTCCTGTTTTTGCAGATGGAGCGTTCCCCGTGTTTGCCTTAGGTCAGCAGAGCTGAACCAAGCAAGCAACTTACTGTGGGCAAACTAGAGCATAAATAACGTGTGTGGCCACTTGGCAGCAGCCCAAGCGCAGAGAAAAGTTCGTGAAGCTCCTACTGCCAGGAAAAGGTCAAGTCTTACTTGCCCTGCTGAGTGTCTGGCTGGGGAAGCTCTGGATACCCTCCCCTGTCCTGAGTCACAGAGGGTTGGGGGAACTGACACTCCTAAGGAAATAACAACTTTCCCATTGTCTTTAGTGCAGCTCATAACCATAGGAAATGTTATAGCCACTGAAAGAGAGAGTGCAAACCTGAAAATACCAATTTATCATAAAATCTTGCAGCTGTTTTTTTTTAAAAACAGGTGGATGTCATAGATGTTAGAGATAAACCAAAGGTGTATTCCTTACACAGTTCAAGAATTTGGGAGGTTTATATGCATTTATTCCTTTGCTGCCCTTCTGCCCTCCTTTCTCCTTCTTGGAAAAGATTCTATGGAAAGAAATTTAACTAGAAGACAGAAAAATTTAAAAGCAACTTTGAAAGTCATAAAGCTAGAGAACAACCCCTGGCTATTTAGTGAACAACTGAAGGCTGGCAATAGAAAGCGGGAGGTGGGAGGAAATGTAGATTTTTAACTCAATTTATAGGCATCTGCATTTTTGGATTCAGGTAGTGCTCTCCTGAAGAGTGGTAAAGGGAAAAAATGAACCATTTCTGTCACTGCAGCTGTTTTCTGCATTAGCTGCTGTTTCTAGTAGTCACATCAAGTATAGGAGACACTTGTCTCTGCATTCAAATGTTCACCAGTTTATTTCCTCTCAAACTTTATAGTTAAAAGATACTTTTAAATTTATACTTGAGAGCTAGTATTCAGATATTAACTGTATTAGGTTGATATAAACATTGCATTTCACAGACCCGCCTGACTTTACAAGCAGTGCAACATCCTGTTATTGGAAATAAAGGAGCAGATATACTGCTGTTGGAATGACTGCCATAGCTTTTGTTAATATGTGGTTCTTTTTAACAGGCATGTTCCCACTGTCATATTTACTGTAATTGTCACCAGAGGTGAATGTAACTCAGACTGGAACTGCTGTCAAAGTTCTATCCTAAGGTTTGGCAATGGGATTGATACTGGACATAAACAGTTTATTTTTTAAATTAAATCAGAGGAACTGGCTTACTCTGTGTTATATCTCTTTTAAAAAGGATGCCAACTGTATGGACAGTGTTACAGCCTATTTATGAGTGATGCAGACATGGCTTAATTTCTTGTTTATAACTGATAGAGGAATTGACACTAATACTCTGAAATGTAGTGTTTGTTGACAAAGATTTACTATGTAATTTCTATAAATACTTCTTGTTCTACACTCTATCTCCAGGCACTTCTTTGACATTGAAAATGTGTGTTGTCTGGAGGGGTAGCCCCATGGAATTAAAATTTCTCCAGACTTCCATGAATAGTAAGGCTGAGGAGAGCACCACACCTCAGTTCTATGTGTAAAAGAGTGATTTTCAGTTATTAACATCAAATTCCACAAGGCTCTGGATTATTCAGTTGGCTTTTCTGTTTCTCAAAACACTCATGGGAATTTTGCCATTGGTGGAAGACAAACTGAGACCATTGGTGGAAGACAAAATGCAACAGGCTGCAAAATGCGATGAAGTAAAGCAAACTTCAAATATTTTTAGAATGTATTTATTTTTAGTGTGAATTGTGTAGCTTGGGTAGGTATGGGGGGTTTAAGCCCGGTTATATGAAACCTTGAAACCTAATTGGTAGCATGGGTAGTGTACAGGCAGAGTAAAACTATGCTCATATTATTGGATTGTAGATTACAGTGATTTAAATTTAAAACAAATTTAAAAGTTTCTCTGCTGTTAAAGCTGATAAGTAACAGGCATAGGATGGGAAAGGAAGAAGGTTTTATATGTTCTTTGATGATGTCTACAAACATGTAGTTCACAGTCCTCCAGTTTACAGCATATGTGGATTTCCACAAGCTTTTCATAGGTCACTAACTTAAGATCTTTACAGGAACTGAGCTTTGCTGGGTTAAGGAGTCATTATGTTTTGTTTTAATAATTTGTTAACAGCAAGAAGGCAATAAATGGTCAGGTTTACAATGACCCAGGAAGAGCTGTGCTGCTGAGTGTATTCCTAAAAGATAATGGGAAATGTAGAAAATAATGTGGTGACAATAATGTAGAATTATTCAAGACAGTGAAAACAAAAATAAGCTGCAGAGTTCCAAAAGGATCTCTTGACATGTTACGAGAGGTGATAACATGATAAATGAAATTCAGTGTTGACAAGTATAACATAATACACAGGGATAGTCTCTAGCCACCTAGGAGAGGGATCTTAATGGCCCCAGAGACAGCTATATAAAAATACCTCTGCAAAACCACATAAGAATCAAAAACATAAAGAGTTTGTTGCATTTATAAGGAAAAGAGCAAACAAACCAAGAACTGAAAAACAATGAAAAAGAAACATTGATTTTTTTCTACTCTAGGAATTCAGAGATTGTCTCATGTGCTCAGTGTGTGCCTCAAGTCCTTGATCAAAACATTCAGGGTCCTGAATCCTACAGGATTTGCTGGAGGTCCTGGGTGATCTGGCAGGTGACTGATGAAGAATGACAGACTCCCAACTCTAGAGTATATTCTCCTCATCCTTATTGCTGGAGGCATCTGCTGGACTTTTCTGGATGTGGAAAGCAGGTTTGCATTCTCCAACTTGCAGGAGGTTCTTAAGTGCTGTTGGCAGCCAGCTAAATGTCTACAGCATCGTCTTGACAGGACCTGTGCTGTTTGTTCAACTAAGGGAAACCTTCTGGTCAGTGTCTGCAAGAGGTCCCTGGTCGAGGGGACCCAACTGATGAAGCCTTTTTGCTCCAGTTACAGGAGCACCAGCAGCAAAGTGCTCACCAGCAGCAAAGTGCTTCCCACTGTTAGCAAAGATCAGGTTCATGACCACCTGAGGAACCTGATTGTGCGTATGTCTATGGGACCCCAGGAGATGCATCCCAGAGTCGGGAGGGAACTGGCTGATACAGTTGCCAAGCCTCTCTCTCCATGACATTTGAAAAGTCAGGTGAAGTCCCAGGTGAAGAAGTGAAACACTGAACCCACCTTTAAAAAGGGTAGGAAGGAGGACCCCGGGAGCTACCAACCTGTAAGCCTCACTTCTGTGCCTCAGTAGATCATGGATCAGATCCTTCTAGAAGGTATGATAAGGCCCATGGAGAATAGGGAGCTGATTCAGGATAGCCAGCAGGGCTTCACCAAGGGCAAGTACTGCCTGACCAACCTAGTGGCCTTCTGTCAGTGGACAAGGGAAGGGCTATGGATGTCATTAATCTGAATTTCCATAAAACATTTGACATGGTCCCCCATAACATCATTTTCTCTGAACTGGAGAGAGATGGATTTGATGAGTGGACTGTTTGGTGAAATAGGAACTGGTTGGATGGTCACATCCAGAGGGCAGTGGTAAATGGCTCAGTGTGCAGAGGGACACTGGTGATAAGTGGTATCCCTCAAGGGTCCAAACTGGGATCAGTGCTAGTTAATATCTTCATCAATGACATAGATAAAGGGATCAAGTGAACCCTCAGCAAGTTTGCAGATGACACCAAGCTGAGTGGTGCGGTTGACACACCTGAAGCATGGGATGCCATCCAGAGGGACTTGGACAAGCTCAAGAAGTGGGCCTGTGGGAATCTCATGAGGTCTAACAGGACCAAGTGCAAGGTGCTACACCTGGGTTGGGGCAAGTCCCAGTGTCAATACAGGCTGGGGATGAACAGATTCCCATCCCCAGAAACATTCAAGGTCAGGTTGGACAGGCCTCTGATCCACCTGGCACAGTAAAAGATGTCCCTGCTCACTGCAGGGGGGATTGCACTAGATGACCTTTAAAGGTTACTTCCAACCCAAACCATTCTATGATCTTTGGTGTTTGGCATTTTCTTATCCTATTCCTTATGGCTCTGGAATGACTCCTCAGCTTGAAGTCACTAATACCCAAAGTTAATTCTGGTGGCCCTCCTAAACAAGGGCAGCCAAAGGCGAAGGATAACACTGAACACCGAATGTGATCCTCAAACCAAACACACTGTTTTCATTATTTTTAAAATAAGAATTCCTTTCTTCTTGGTAGAGACCTCCTTTTGCTCACCTAGCTGAGGTAACTCAACCACTTCCCTGGGCAGTCTGTTCCAGTGCTTGACAAAAACTTTTTTTTTTCCTTCAATTTATTTACTGTTTCATGTTGAGTTAATCCGGCCTAACCTTATTTTCACATACAATCAGATAACACACATCTCAAAGAAGACAACAAAGCAGGTAAGTAACCTGGAACAAGTTGTCCAGAGAAGCTGCGGTCGCCTCATCCCTGAAAGTGTTCAAGGCCAGGCTGGATGGGGCCCTAAGCAATCTGGTCTAGTGGAAGGTGTCCGTGCTCAGGGCAGGGGGTTGGAACTAGATGATCCAAGTCTATTCAAACTCAAACCATTCTGTGATTCTAAGCATTTATTTAAAATCGTGCTGCTATATAGGAGATCTTCATGTTCAGGAGCATGGAAGAATGAAGAAATGCTCCAAGATTTTATGCTAAGAAGAGTGACACTAGGCTGTGCCCACCTTGTCAGTGGCTCCTGACTGCTGTTAGCTGTGTGTTGTGCATTTAATGCCTGCTCTCTCCTTCCCTGGTAGTGCAGGTGCTGCAGCTCAGTAGCAAAGCTGTTGGGGAAACCAGTGCTGCACCACCTGGGCTTGTCACAAGAGCCGAGATGGTGAGGAACGGGACTCTAAATTGAGTGTTTATTTCCACCATCTAAGCATCCTCCAGGATTTAGGCTGTTCTGGATTAGGCTAAAGAGCCTGATTCCAGTAAGAATAGAT